TATATATATATATATATATATATATATATATATATATATATATATAAGGGCGCAGTTTACATAAAATGTGGATCTTAAGCAATTAAAGTAAGGCGCACCTCCAAACCCTATCAGAAGATGCAATTTTGGTACTGCAAATCCTATAATGGCATGAAAATCTATCTTTAGCTCTAATTATGAAATTTAAAACTTCAAAAATAGTGCAGACAAATAAAAATCTTGAAAATAGACCGTCCAAATAACATGTTTTAGGATGCAACATTTTAGAACTTGAATCTTTTTCTTTTTTGCCCCCTATATCCAATCATCTTAAGATCGTGACGATCAAATGGAAGATTTCCCAGTATTGGAGCAACAGTTTCTAATGAATTTTTTAGGTGCGCCTAACTTAATATATTATTGATACTTTATAAACGTTTTCCTTATAAAGGTAAGACTTTTGTTGTCTTAAAATACGAGATCTAGTTGTGCCGCAAATGCACAATCCAGACTTAGTTTATGATGGTTGATTGGATTGACTTGCAGAAGTTTTGAAGCTCTAACCTTTTTTGGAAAGAATAACAGCATTCTTTATAGTGAGTTTCAATAAAAGTTAATGATCTCGTCAAAAAAGAAAAAAAAAATCTTTATAGCGACTTTATATGAATGATTTGGGAGTTTTGGTGTCAAACAGTCGGTAAACGTAGTTTTATGTATCAGTGGAATACGTGTATATTTTTGGTACCACGAGACTACACAATCTCTTCCTATCCTCTCAGTATGGCCTAAGCTAATTCCATGTTTTATTATTAAAGTTGATAACAAATATTAACGTACTTGTACTCTTTTCATTTACCCAGTGAAATCCTACGTAACACTGGAAAAAAAAAAAGTGAGTGAATTTGGAGGATCTCGCTACATTCATTAGCCCAATTTTCTCTCACTTAAAAAGGTTTATCTTTCTTCTCCATGAGTAAAATATCTAAAAATACTCGTGAGCGAATTGCTAATGTACTTTGCTTATGGCTAGTCACCATCAAAGTCCATCGGATGGTCACAATTGTCTCGCAATGTTTGGTATGAGACTATCTTTATAGTCTTTTTCCTAGAAGTAATGGGGTAGAAATTGTTCAATTAGAATGATAAATTTTAAAATTATTTTAAGGGTATTTTCATCATATTAGTTTTTTATAATTATTTGTTAATATTTTAGGTGAGAGTTGGTTATATGTGCATACACTCTAAATTTCACATGAATCTTATTTACAAAGAAATTATTAAAATTCAAATAATATCAGACAATCGTGAGTGTTTATGGATATTAGATGATAATGTGCTACGTACAAAATATTGTAGAAATTCGCTCATGAGTATTTGCAAGTGTTTCTAAAAAAAGAAAAACCCAAGTAATGAATCATCTAGTCATGAGCATCATTATGGAAATGCTTCTAATGCCATATTTGGACACATTAAATGTTAGAAATAGTAATGGTTTCTACATTTAAAGATGATAGGTGTTCCAATTTAATATGCCACTATTTAAGGGTGAGCCTAATTTCCGTCAAGGATTGTATATACAATGAGGGCATTGACCTTTCGTGCAAAAACGTGACAATTATTTATAACTATCCTATACGAAAAGTGATAGATTGGGTATATCGTAAAGTTTGAAAAATTTTCTTTTGAACTTGAGCTTAATCAATGGATTAAAGGTAGCCACTCAATTTCACATCTAATGGTCATGATTATTTGTGATCACCTTGTACCAAAAGTAAATGGTCTCATTATATACTTTTCTTTTTTATAATCCCACTTCCCCAAACACTATGAAAATACTTTTTTTTTTTGAACAATTAAGAGTAACTTTTCATTGATAGGAGAAGAATTCCAATGAAATAGCAAAAAGGAAATCAAAAGGAAGAAAAAAAAAACTACAATGGAACATTACACTGCTACAACCATGGCAATAGCATCGGCACTTCCGTTTCGTTCTCTCTGTACATGGATTAAGGTCACCTCCTTACCGCGGAGGCACTATGAAAATACTTAGTAAGACTGTAAAAAAAACAACGTTTCTTCTCAATTTCAGAAGAAGTAGAGCTTGATTGTGAAGGCAAAAGACTATAGTTTTTAAATTTTACTCATATGGAAAAGCAGAGAAATCTCTTTTGATATGGAGGCATAAAACAATAAGTTAGAGCAAAAATTAATGCATCACGTCTGAATTTGGCTTGTCAATAAACGGGGTAATCAACTTTGGGTTAATGATGAGGATATTCCAAGAGGTCAAAAGACCCATGCACACACAAAATTGGGACAATAAATTTTAGTAGCATCTCACGCAAGTTTTCCAACATTTGTGCAGTTTTAAAAGATGTGAAAAAAGAATGGTATTGGGCCGATTGGGCATACCATATTTTGGGGATAGAACCATTTTTTCCTCTACCCACTAAGGAGTGAAAGCAGTCCTATTTGGTCTCCCTTTAAAACAAAATGTGTTTTACCTTACTTGTAAATAGAAAAAGTTTATATAAGGTTGCAACCTTAAAATGTAAAATTAAAGATGTACCTAAAAAATCCATCAAAAAAAATTGTTTTAATGTTGAAAGATCCTCTAACTGATCATCTCGACATTAACATGTATGAATACTTCGAGTCCCAGAAATAGGGCATCTTTCAACGCATTATCTAGACCATCTATTTTCAAGACTTTCATATGTTTATAGATATACTTGATTTTAACCATTTTTAAAGTTTACAATTTTATAATTAGATATGAAAATAGATTTTGGGATAATCCTAATAATGTTGTACACCAAACTTACATGTTATGATAAAATTTGGAAGTGAGCCCTAATTGAATGATTTAAGGTTACAAGCTTATAGAAATACCAGATTTAAGGTTATAACCTTATCGAAACCACACCCTTTATAAATTCTATCTACAAATGGCATCGTTGAGTGAACCAAATTGAGCTTTAAATATGAATGTGCATGACATAAACATTAAAGTGTGGCGCCCAACTTATACTCAAAGTTCAATTAAAGAAGATATTACCTTTAACTTTGGGGGAAAAGAAAGAAAATGATTGGATGTTACAACCAAATTTGAAGAGATCTCAGATGAATCCCCTCCCCGGATCTATTCTCTAAATGGTTAAAATTTATAGTCAATAAAGATTGTGGGGGACTAAACAAATTACGATTCAAAGACAAATCGTGATCCCGAAAGATTCTCTAGGAGTTTTTTGCGCCAAAACAACTTTAAAAGCTAAATCTCAACTAGGAAATTAAAGTAATATAAAAGAAATAATTAACTATAAACAAAAGAGACGTACTTAATGGGGACCCAAATCAAGCCGTTCTTAGTTTGCTGACTTTCTCCGTATGAAAGGCTTGTTGAGAATTTTCTACGGTTTTCCTAACCTCTAATGGCTATTAAGGCGCTATAGAAGGTAAGAACTATGGGTTTCCTAGGATTTTAAGGCTCTAGGTCTTTGCTCTTAGCCAAGGAATTTTTTCTAATTTTTAAGAATTTTTCTCTGAGGTCTTCAATCTCTCAGGCCTAAAGGTCTCCAAGACATGATAGTTTAAATTCAAAAGGCTTTAGAGAGGCGTATATAAAAGCTTTACATTTGGCATTAATCCCATTAGGATTAGGACTTCCAATTAGTTTATGATTAGAACTTAGGTCGAATCTCAGTCATAACCTATTCAACGCTTATCTTTAGCCTTCTAGAATCTTTCGGGATTTTTTGAAAAATTTTGGTGATCGAAAGAGGGCAACAACACGCATCACATCGCTAGGCCCATTGGGCGTAGCGATGCGGCCCTAGTCACTAGCCCAAAAAAACCTCCAACTAGTGGAGAAGAACTTGTTGAGTCATGCAAAGGTGGTCCGTCCAAAACCTACGCGTTTTGAGGATCGCAATCTGAGGTTTTCTTATATTTGTATATTGATCTAATAATTTTCACTATATTTGGGCAGATTTGGTGGTTTTCCAATGGATTAAGAATAAGTGTCCTGAGGTCTACTATGCTAGCGTTGGTTTGGTTTTAAGGTTCGAGATTATAGGTTAATGGGAAATTCTTTTAGCCAAAATTAAATGGGGTAATTCCTTAGACAATATGTAAATGACAAAGAAGTATACATCAGAGACACAATGGAAGGACGATCCATAAGATATCAATGGGAATTTTGCTAAGTCTAGGGAAGTTTTCACACAATGGAAGGACGATCCATAAGATCTCAATGGGAATTGTGCCGAGTGTAGGGAAGTTATAATTTGTTGAGTGAGTAGTCTCCGCAATCCGGGATGATCAGTAGGACTTCGAAAGGAACTATACTAGGGATTGGGACGGTCATATTTTGCTGAGACGTCCCTGATAATCACGACGATGCTACTCGTGAAAGAAGTCAAACAGATAATTGTAGATAGGCTTCTCGACGCATCTTTGCCTTCTTAATTTTTTAGGGTTTGCTCTCTGGTGGCCATGAAAGTTGCGAGCAGAGAATCAGAAGTGCGCTCTCAGGCCGCTTGCCTCACCTTGACTAAGGAGGGTTTTAAGAGATTTCGAGCCTCTTCCTCCATCCGCCCGTTTGACTTTGATCCGGTATGTATGCATGCCTTGGAGAATGAGATCGCGTTCTGTGTGATAGCTGTGGTTGAAATGATGATGAATAGATGGCTGATCTCTTTCTCTCTCTCTCTCCCTGGGTTGAGGGCTTCTCTCTAACATTCCATCGGTTGGCAGGTCAAACTCAAATTTTGCAAAAGGTTCAGGAAACGTTTAGAAGAGGAGAAGGGATATCGATTACCATACTCCCCCCTAATGATCGAGGTGGATTTCTTCGAGTATCTAATTAATGTGAGGAGCCTCTCTCTCTCTCTTCCCCTTATTTCCTTGATATATTTACTGATTGTCACACGTTTACCTCCCCTCAATTTGCTAATCTACTCCCATGGTTGTGATTTCTCTTCCACAATAATAGAATCCTTCCCAAATTTGTGAAGAAAACGATGTTTATCTATTTTTATTTAGTTTTCTATTGCTCTGTTTACTTGATTTCGTAATAGAATTGCACCCTGATAGATTAGCTTTTAAGGTTGTTTTGGAGGTGCATTTTAGAGCATTATGATGCCTAGAAGGGGTGGGAAGGAGGATGGCTTTGTTGGTCACAGTTTCTGGGATTGGATCAGGTATGAGGGTTTGAATTGCTAGCTTAAATTGGGTGGTTGGTGAGGATGGGATTGATGGTGGGTATTGTGGATTGGGAGAGGAAGAAGGATGCAGAGAAATGATGTTGGTACTTGATGAAGCCTCATGTCTTGGGGAAGACTTGAGGGGGTGGGATAGCTAATGAAGGGACCTATATCATGTGGGGGATTTACACCATATCTAAAGTGGGAGATGTAGACTTGGTTGGAATTAAGAATACGGGTCATGGTGTCAACACTAACAGATTACGAGGAATCAACACCTCATATTGGACTCAACGCTGACAAAATAAGATCCAAATTTATTTCAAACTTTGATATAGACAGCCTAGGGAGTGCAATTTTGTTTCAAACTTTGATATAAACAGCCCAGGGAATACTTCATATTGGACTCAACAACAACAAAAGAAGTCCCAGTTTTACGAAATAAAATTGACTTGCAACTGATGCTAATCTCACTTTACCAAGCTTTATCTGTTCTAAAATTACGTATAGTGGGAAACTAGTTCCTTTACTAAATAAAAAGGCACGTAACATCTTCTAGAATACTTTGTCTAAACTTGGAAGTTCCTCTTAACAATGAATAGGAAAAGAAACACTTAGACATTCCTAATTCTAGTCATTGTTTGGGAAGGCGAAAGGTGCCAGCTAGGTGGGCAAGGGCACTGGTTGCCCAAGCTGAGCCTTAACTGCATAGGCAGGCGTCTCATGAATGAAAATCCTTGCATACGACATAGGGGGTTTGATGTTGGATGCCGACTCCCCTCCAATTCAATTCATTGTTTCTTCTCTCTCCAAGAAGGACAAGGGTGGTGCGTGCAACTTTTTGTCCGTGCAAGATATTGAATCTTTCTTGCATGTTGTAGTCATGACTCATGAACATCAAATTAAAAACACTAGAAGGATGAAACTTGTAATGTTAAATTTTGATACTTACTCAAACTTGAATCAAATATTGAATAATCATACAACATACTAGGCACATGACTATTAAATAACATACTAACAAACATTGGTCTCATAGGGCATGTGTGTCCACTTCCAAGTCAAAAACAACAACAAAAAAGTAACGACATTTTAAACCGAGTCTTATCGTCGTCATCCCATCCTCAACATGAGCATCTACATCATCCTCATCTTCATCCTCCGTTGTCACCTCTTAGTTGGCCTCCTTTGCTTTCTTTTTTATTGTCATCATGCTACTTTCTGAAGGTCTAGTGGCCTGCATTGTATTGGAAGAGGTTCCCGTAGCCTCATGAATTTCTCTCCAATTCAATCCATTTTTCAGGGTCGTGTCATCTTCTATTCATGGATCACCCCCTCACAAATATCATTCATGCTGCAGAATAATGGGGTCATTGCCAAAATGTCCATGATAGCTCTCCTACAACTTATCCTACATGTGTACCAAACGTTTTTGTCTCTTTTACTAGAATTTGTTTCTATGTTCATGTGGACTTGGTGTATAATATGTGAATGAGTGATTTAGAATAACTAATTCAAGTTAGCGGTGGAAGGCTTATGAGGACTGATTGGACTTAAAAAATTATGCTCAAATGAGCAGAAGCTGGCTCTCAACCGGATGAGCTACTCTTTTTGAGGTTCAAATGTAAATGGTGATCCCTTGCGAGTGCTTGTGTTACCCACGTGTGTTCTCCAGCATAGCGCTAGATTATATGTCAATGGCATTTCATAAAGACAGATTCATCAGTATAGTCGTACATCAATGTAATAGGACTATACTAGTAGGATATTGGTATAACGACGTTGTTCTAGTATAATATAGCTCAAGTCACATTGAATAAGAAAGCACAAAGATTGCCTGGAGGGACTATAATCCTTCGGATTATTATTATGTGATAATAATAATCAGACATAATAATTAAAAAAAAGACAAATATTGTTATACCTATGCCAAGTGACTCCATCAAAAACTTGTATATATCGAACTCTAAATTAATGAGGTGTAGCTTTAGGTATGTAGTGATCATCATGTTGGACATGTAACATATTAAATCCATCCATGATAACAATATTTGAAAATCTCGTGATCTGAATAAAAAGTATTGCTGCTCTAGAAACAATGTTGTTCTTTGAGATGATACCTGGCTTCATGCAAGAGACAATGTTGCTTTTGTATCCCACTTTTCATCTACAATGTTCCAATTTGGTCCATATTTCGCTCATCATGCCCATATGTTGTCTCCACCTCTGAACCCACATCCTCCGTTCGCTTGTAAATATAACCATTGGCTAGTATCTCACCATCCACCAATCATAGCACCTATACCAATGGTTTGAATGCGTGGAGGAAGCACACCACCTCATTTCAAAACTTGGGAATAACAAACAGCCTCATCTCTTTTGTATTCTTGGCCCACTCTGTTCTTCTCATTGTCTAAAGACATTGCCACCAATTTGTCTTCATGGGCCAAAGGGAGGCAGCTGACGTCTTTGCTGCAATCATGTTTTTGACTATCTAGACATGTTGCTCCCCTCCTTCTCTATACCTTGACCTATCCACTATGCTTAAAATGTAAGCTGCGTTGTGTGTTCCATCCGGTGCATCAATGGACTATAAAAGTATTGTCTTCACTGGGCAGTGCACCATGAAGTTCCTAATACTACTCCCCACACCCATTGGTCCACGAGAATGGCCCATTTATGGGGCCTTATTTTTCTATAGTTCCTTGTAAATAAACACACCCCATCGATGTAGCTCAAGGTCTTCCTCGTGGATCCCAATCTTTGGGGCCATATATGGTGAGGGCCCACCTTTGTGTTGTACTTTTTGGCATTCCACTCGAGTTCTGTTTGGTACATCCTTGTTACTGGTCTGCGTATAAGGTACCTTTTTTTTTTAATCCAGATTCAAACTAGATGGGGCTCTTAATGATAAATACAATATGGTGAGGCCTAAATTTGGGTTGCGCTTTTTGGCATGCCCCTCCTAGAGTTCTACTTGGTGCATCCATGTTACTACCTATGTATTAGGTGCCTCTTTTTTTTGTGTGTCATCGTTTGAACCAAATGGGGCTCTTAATGATAAATACATGCAATTTTGGGTTGGGTTCTAATTGGTTTTCTCTTTATTGGTTTTAAATATTACATTTGTTGTTGTTCCTTTTTATGTTTCTTTTTGTAATTGGTGTTGGAATTGCTGTTCCTGTTCTGAATTGGTTTCTGTGGATTCTTTGACTTCTAATCTTAGGCTTTGAACGATCCACCTATCGAGCTACTTGAGATGCTTTTTTATGCGTTTTATTCCATGTTTGATGATTCACTTGATGCACTCGATGTTTGTCATTTCTCCTTGTGGAGTACCATCAAGACACTGCGTATGTCTGAGATGATAAATGTGAGTACATTTGTTACATACATGACCCGAATCTCACTCTCTCTCTCTTTGCATGTCCTGTCCTTGTATGTAGTCGGCCAGCATTTTTTGGGTAAGTAGTTGCAAAGCGTTTGGATTTTTTTAACGTCTTTTTTTTCTTTGCTTTTGAAACTCCATTTGTACCCATGTTTTCTTAAGTTTAATCTCTTTATTTTTTTGAGGTGGCATTGTTGAATCACTCTATAGAAATTGGTTATTTTTGGCAGTTCTCTTTGCTTTGTTGGTACTTTGATTGGCTTATATTTTTTTCAGGAGGAGAAGCTTGAAAATATCTAGAAAGAAATTTTAGGAGGAGCATTTTGTTCATTAAGGCTGTAGAAATTTTATTTATTGTACTCAATGCATTTGATTGGCTTGACATATTTATATTTATATTTATATTGGCCACTTGGACTAGAATGGCGTTGTATATCCTATTGGGATTTGGATTGATGCCTAATTTATCTTCTCTCTTGATATTAGAGCATATAGGTGAGAAATCTTCTAATTGAACGCAAGAATTTCAAAAATCTTCAACCCCTTTATCCATTCTTTTGGGTTGAGAAAATATTTGATGGAGTGCTTCACTAGAAATTTTGTGAGGGTCATTCCAAATATGGTTTTGCGACTTGATTAATGAGATACTTTTGCCTTCATGGTATATGTAGAAATCTTTAGAACGAGTCCAAGTTCTTTAGAAATTTGTCGAGATCATTGTTATTTAGGTGAAAGTTTCACTGGAGTCTTAGCGTTGCTTTTATTTTTATTTCTAGAGATTTTCTATCCTAAAACACATCGATTGGTCATTTATGAAAAGTATATGTATATTCTGCTTCTTTAATTCCCTTAAAAAAATTTCACCGTAGTTGCTTGTATTTATTTATTTTTAGTATGAAAAATTGTGCGAGTCCCCTCAGATTCACTCTAGTCACTTGGGCTGAACAACCTCCCAGTATTCGAACCCCATTTGGGAGGAGTGCTGATTACCTGCCAAGTGTTTCAAAAAGCGCTAGGAGCGTCCTAGGCGGCCAGGGGGGTTCAAGTTGCCCAACGCCTAGGCGGGCGCCCAAAACCTGGGCGACCCAGTTGAATCCAAAAAAAGTTCTAGTGTCTCGAACAGTATATATTATATAAAATATAGAAATTAGGTATTTAAGGCACATCATAATTCAAAGTTTACTACCCATTAGCACACACTCCATAAGCATAACCATAAGTTGACCCATATCCAATTGAAACTTAAAATTTGGCAACAAAATTGCCAAACCAAAGTT